TTCGAAATATCATTTAGCGACTTACAATTTTCATGGCCAGGTGGTTAGGGCGCTCGACTCGCAATCTGAGGGTCGCGGGTTCGAATCCCCGTCACACCAACCATGCTCGCCCTTTCAGCCGTGGAGGCGTCATAATATGATGGTCAAACCCACTATTCATTGATAAAAGAGTAGCTCAAGAGTTGGCGGTTGGTGGTGATGACTAGCTGCCTTCCCTCTTGTCTTACACTGCTAAATTAGGGACGGCTAGCGCAGATAGCCCTCGTGTAGCTTATTTTAGAAATATAAATGCAAACGAAGAATTCATTTCCCTACAGTATTTTGAATATGTATACATAAATATTTGTATTTGCCTGTGTGTTAATGTATAAGCGTGTTTTATTTATATATTTATAAAAGAATTGTTGTTTTTTCTGGGTGCTTTGAGCGCAAAGCTGCACAATGGGGTATTGCGCTCTGTCCACCGCGGGTAACTGAATCCCGAATGCTAACATATATTTATAAAGAACTGCGTGCAATTAAATTGAATTGTATATCCACAGGAGATTTATCTTGACTACGACTTCCTTAAAGCTTTCCTCATGAAAACACTGGCGTGATATACAGTTGTTTGAATAGAGGATTACGAATGTTAGAACATGTAGATTAATCCTAATTTGGATTTGTACTTAATATTAAAGAGTAAAAAACGAAAATGGAATTGCTTTAAGTTCCTTCAGTTGTTTTACTCTAAAGCTTCCATAATGTTATTGATAGTTGATCTGCAGTTAATAAATCAAAATAAAATTTTTTGACATTTTTAATCTTGTCATTCAAGTAATTATTTGCTTTCTTTTTAAACAATCCTCAAATGAAATCCGGTTTAAGGTTTTAATCTTATCTTAAAATTCGTTTCTTTCTTTATTATTTACGTTTGTATGTTTCTTTTGTTTTTAAGCGCTATATCCACCGCTGGATTCGAACCCCGATTTTTAGCGTTATAAGCCCTCTATCTTACCGCTGAATCACCGGGGGGGGGGGAGCTTCCTTTTACCACTTCTCATACGAAATTAATCTTGTCCTTACAGTGGTTTTAATAATGTCTTGTGTTATCGAATTGAACACCTAATTTGTATATTTGTTATCTCTCCTACTTGTTTTCTTTCTCTGTGTAAGATTTTCTTTGACTACTCTTATTATGTTCTTTTTTTTCGTAGTTCTCGTTTTTCGTCTTTTATCTCAATTTGTATTCAACTCCGATCTACCATTATTTTCTCTCTTTTTCTCTGTATAGATATATATTTGTTTCTCTTTTCTTATTGAGCATTGTCCACCTCGTTTAATAATTTGTTTCTGGTAGTTCTATATCTTTAGGGGCCTAGCATGGCCAGGTGGTTAAGGACCCTAACTTGCAAGAATCTGTAGGTCGCTGGATCAAAACCCGGCGTCAAACATGCTTGTTTTTTAACCCGTGGGAGCGTTATAATTTGATGGCCAATCCAACTATTTGTTTGGAAATGTTGTAGCTCAAAAATTGGCGGTGGGTGCTGCCGGTTAGCAGTTCAGAATTAGAGATGGCGGCTTTGCCATACCAAACAAACTATATTTTTAGTTTTATAGATACCATAGTAACGCTGTTTAAGTTTACAATTAGTGACAATACATCCCATAATTAATTTTAAAGCTGTTGTATAATTATACTGAGGTCATCAGTTTTAGGTCAGCAGATGTTCTCATTTTCCATTTATTTTAGCAATAACTTTAATTTATAACATTTTGTATGTGATTCCTCCACTTACAGTTACATTTTTTCTTCTTTTTGGATATTTGGATATTTTCTACGCTAACTGCCCTAAATTTTGAACTGATAGATCTAAGGGAAGGCAGTTAGTCAACAGCTCTCGCCACACGTTTTTGGGATACTTTAATCGTATAGTGGAATTTGACTGCCACTCTTATAACGAACCCACGGCCCCAAAGAGCTGGTTACGATTTTGCGTAATGGAACTCGAACCGAAGATCTTAAATCTACAGTTCGGCATGCCACACTCGGCTCTTGATGTTGAAGAATTGCTATTTTGCAATAATTGACAAACATATGTCATCTTAAAATATTCACTTCATCGATTTCGCTAATTGTCAGATTACTTGATCTATTCTTTTTATAATCTTTTAATGTTTAGGTTAATAGAAAATCATTGCTATTTCCTAGTTTGTAGTTGTTTGTAGTTAAGCGAAAAGCTACACAATGGGCTATCTGGGGGGGGGGGGGCTCTATGGCCAGTACAAGAGTGGAAATATTTATCACGAAGTAAATTGTCATCTATTGCTCCCACTTAAGTTTTGAAAGATAAACAAAACAACAATTGTACTAGAGTTGATTTGGAAAATTTGTCTAGTCAACACCACCCACCGCCAACTCTTAGGCTGCTCTTATCCCAACGAATAGTGGGATTGACTGTAACATTATATCACCCCTACGGCTGACAGGGCGAGCATGTTCGCGAATGGGATTCGAACCGATGACCTTGCAAGTAATTCCATACAAACATATAATGAGTACTGATATTACTTTTTCCCCTAGAGATTTAAGTTTTACTGAAGAACATGTAAGTATATTACAGTATAAAAATCATCCACCGGGACGGTAAAAAGATGTATTAAGAGTTGAAATATATAAAAACTTGCAAAGAACCTCAACTTAGAAGATTTCGTCCTTTGTAGAAGTTTAAAGCTAAACCATATGTTGTTTAGAATGAAAAGGAAATTCAAAAGTTATTGTTATATTGTAAACAAAAAATATTTTTCATTCTTTTCTGCAGTCACGGAAAAAGAAATACGACAATGGTAAGGCTTATCACTCTTATAATATTCAATTAATGTTTACATATTATTTAATTATCTGTTATTCTACAAGTAAGAAAATAAAGTTTAGGCTTTTAAATTTGGAGATCAGCAGTTCGTGAAGCTATACAATATCTATACAAATTAACAGTAGATTCTCGACTATTGTCAGTTATGACTATTGCAATCTATCTACATTTTCCGTAGATGAAAAGCTAATCTTTTACTTTATAAAACATCCAAAATAAAATATTTCTGAAACTCTGAACTTGGAAAAAGTAAACAATCATTGACATTTGTGACCAGTGGTGGCCTAGGATAAATTCCTTAAGGCACACACTATTGTATAGTATGTCTCAAATAATCTAACCTATATAAAAGGCAGTGTATGTTACGTTATGACACGCTTCATTTCTCAAAATAGGAGGAGTCATAAAAGTCAAAATGCATTTATCCAGATATAATAGTTTGATTACTGTCTACCCATTACGATTTTAGTGACAGGGGTGCAAGGGAGACGTGAAACCTTATAAGTGTAGTGGGTGTTGTTATAATAAGCCTAAAGTGAAGATGTAGCGTGGGATCACCTAGCCTAGAACCATAAAATATATCATGCAAGTAAAAATATCGTTTCTGAATTAAGCTATTTTAGGTTATATCATCAATGATGTTAATAAAAAACAAACGTCTTTAATCAACGGAGACCATAAATTAAGAAATCAACAAATAATTTTCCAGTTTTGTTGTCTATGCATTTCATTTCATACTTAGAGTACGTAGACTAACAACATTATTAAGTTACTAGCTGAGGTACCCGTCCCCTGGACGGAAGTTATGTAAATTCGTGATTAATGAAAGGTTATCTTAAGACATGAAAAGTTGCCCCCTTATATGTAATTTAAAAAAATGCAAAACGCAAAACTAACAATTTGTATGTATCTCTCCATGGGCTCAATGGACCTCCATACCAAATTTGGTGAAGATCCATCTACAGGAGGCGAAGTAGTCGTAAAAAAATGCAAAATCTCCCATAAAAACCGCAAAATGCAAAGCTGAAAACTTGTTTGCACCCATGCACGGACTTAACAAGCCTCCATACCAATTTGGGTGAAGGTCCATCTATACCCTGCGAAGTAGTTACATGGACATACAACAGACAGTACTATTATTTTTATTATTAGGTTATACTTTTGTTGCTAACAAACATGACATAAAAGCCATTGTTGGAACGTAGTGTTACGCACTGGCTTTTCTATTTATTAGAAGTTGTTAATCTGATTGATTTTTACCAATAATTGTTATCCGAATGCGCCACGAATTAATTTTTATTGATTAAGCTTGATTTCTCAAAATTGATTTATTTCAGTTAGTTATGAAATGTGAGGTTAGTGTATACTATGGAGTGGGGGTAATAATACTTGCCCCGTCATTTTTAACGGGCTATACGTTAGTCAAATATAAATCATAATGTTATAATTCAGTGGTTCCCAACTTGAAGTCCCCGTAGGTAATACCATCTCATTAAACAAGTAAGATTTTTAATACTGATGTTCTTTTTAATTGCACACTCAGTTACATATGTCTTTTATTTGATAGTAAAAAGTGGGAGAACGAGAAAATTATCAGTTAATAAAAACAGTTTGTTGGGTAGGCGGAATCTTTCAAAAACATGGGGTCCGTGTGGAAAAAAATTGATAAAAAAGGGGTCCTTGGTGGAGAAAAGGTTGGGAACCACTGCTATAATTGATTTTACTCTAATTTAGTCTGTTATTAAGAATTTGAAGTACATTCTTATTAGTTTTTCTCACTTATGGTGGAGTATTACTCCTAATGACATATAAACCAAAGTATAACAGTAATAAAAAAGCACAAACGCCGTTAGTCATATTGTTTAATAGTTATTAATTTTGTTTTAATTTCTTTGCTTTCAAACCTAAAAAATTAAAATTTATTAAAATTTATTATTTGCAGTGTTTTATACATTTAATTTATCATTATATATTTAAAACGTTTTAACTACCAAGCCTAATATTTATCATTTATTCAATATATCGTTGAATATTTCCGTCAGCTTTTGACATAAGCCAACTGCTCTCCAGTGACTTAGCAGTAAGTCTGAAAGCTTATAACGCTAAAAGCCGAGTTTCGATACCCGTGGTGAGCACAGCACAGACAGCACATTGTGTGGCTTTGTGCTTAACAACAAATAAACATGAGCCTAAAATAAAATATTTAAAATAGTCTGATACTCATACTTTGCAATTATTAACGATATCCGAGCAATTCTAAGTGAATAACAGATATTCAAGTCTACTGACCTATTCTACTAAAGTTACATTTAGGTTGGATATATATATATTGGTTTCTTCTAATACTTACAGGTATAAAGGTTTCGTGAAAGACTGCCCAAATGGCCATCTCACAGAAGAGGTAAGATATTAAGTCTTAAACACAGTAACTCATCGTTAAAAACTCAGCTGACTTTAAATAAAAATGTTTTTTTTTTCATCAAGCTTTTAAGTATACAGTAAGACTAACGATTAAATGTAAGGCGGATATTTGCCATCGATAGTGGTGTAAATTTTCGTTTTAGTATATGATATCTTCCCGTTTTCCAGTTTCTCGAAATGAATAATTAATAATTCAGATTAATGAATAACTGTTGAAACTGAACATGACACCTTCACTCATAAGCTAGCAGAACTAAACTTGACTCACGTGTTGAGGTAACAGGATGGGGTGTCCTGACGTGATTTTTACGGCAGTAAACTCCTGGAGGTAGCAATAGAAGCAATTGGATATAATAGAGGAACTTGATCAGTACACTGGGGCCTCTGTGAATCATTAGGGGGCTTTTGAATCCCCAAACGGAGCGCGGATATTTTATGCTAGTTCAGCTGACAACGTAAACATACTGTTACGTCTCTGGTCGTTAGTTAATTTTCCGTATAATTTCTTTCCGATGAAACTTTAGCGACACAAGTCCTTTCTTAAGTAAAACTGGTTTATTCTTTCTGAATACAGCTTTGCAATACACTTAAATTCCACAGTCGCGCTATAACAAACGCTATATACAAGACT